GATGCTCTCTTTTTTATTGCTATTTTTCTTAATTGAGGTGTTAAGGTCATCATTAAGATTTCTGTCATTTTTGTGTTTTTATAGTCGTGTGTATTTAATGAATATGCTTTTCGAACTAGTGTTTCGATGCGTACTGCTAATTGTTTGATGGTTTCATTTGGTAATCTGCGAATTTCATTACATAAAACTCTTTGTTGTTGTTTGTTTCTTTCGGAGTCAAACATTTTTGAAAATTCTTGTGTAAATCTCTTCCAATTTGATTTTATTTCTAGAGGCAATACTGAAAACCATTTTTGGGCTGCGCCGTCTAAAGTTGTTTGTATCAACGCTGTGCGTCGATGTATCCAGTTTTGATGTAGTGGCGTATTAATTGGTTCAGGTCCTATATTTAAAATCAAATTTGCTGTTACTGCATTTAAATAGTCTTCTACAGAATATTCAGGGTCTGTTCCTGTGAATACCATTAAAGGTTTATTTGATGTTATTGATGATCCACCCATAAGGTATGGATTCATTGTCATTTGTAATGATTCTGCTGCATTTGGCATTTGAGAAAAATTTGAAAGTTGATTTCTTGTTATTTCGTGTTGTTGAAGATAATATGGGAGTGGTATTTCATTTTGCATTTGCGTCGGTTGATACGAGTGTGTGATCATTGGGTTTTGTTGCTGAATTGGTTGAAAATATTGTGTATTAATTGGGTTTTGTTGCTGAATTGGTTGTTGATTTTGTGTATCTATCGATTGTGGGGAAAAAATTCTATGATTTATATGTGGTTTCTGTACTCCTTGTCCACGATATTCTTGATTATATGGTGCAAATATATCTGGTTGTAAAAAATCATCATCTGAGGATAAGTAATCCATTTGATAAGATGTTTGTTTTTTATTTTTATTTTGTTGAAAAAATGGATAGTTTTCACTACGATCCTGTGAAGGATGTAAATTTGTTTGAAAATTTACTGAATTAGTTTGTGCCATTGGGTTATCCCAGTTTCGAGATCTTGTGTAATTATTAAAAATTTTTCGTGGGGGATAATTTGTTTTTGATGGATGTGTGTAATTATAATTATGTTCTGCAAAATGTTTCTAGTGAACGTTTTACGTGTCTTTGACGGTATTGTCATGGGTCTGTATGTCTGATAATCCATGTTTGAATATTTTGGGGCACTCGAAGGTTTAACGGTAGATTGTAAGGTTACCTGTGTTTGTGAAGGGTTTGTATTTCTTGGTGTTGTTAAATTTGGACGTATCGGTGAAATGCTTTGTTGTGTAGTTGTTGTTTGTACGATTTCTTCATTTATGAAGTGTGATGGTGTCTGGATATCTTGCTGGGTGAGATTTCTAGTTCCATTGAGGTTTTCATTGTGTATGATTGTGGAGTTTAAACTATTATTTTGCATATCAGGTAAAAATGTATTATAGTTTAATGGTGTTGCATCAATGGTTAATGGTATTACTCTTACATAATCTCTTACATAAGATATCGTACTTATTGCTTGACTTGAGATTGATTGTGGGATGTTTATAAATGCGGGATGAGACCATTCGGGGTCCCAAACATAGTCTGACTGTTCTGTGATGGCAGTATCATCGTTTGAGTTTTGAGGTCTAAAATTTTTTCTTGCTTGTGAAATTAAATCTAGATTATGTGTGAAATAATCTATTATAAACCATGCCAAGATTTTTTGTAAGTCATGTTTTGTATGTTGTGAAACATCATCTTTAGTGAAATTTTCTTTAATTATATTTAGAAAACTAGAGAGTAGTGTGATTTCATGTCGTAGTCTTATATGTTTAGATGTTTCTGTCGGTGAGACATTTGAGATTGGGATTTCGTTTTCTAATATCGAGATATAACTATATATTATTGCAAAAACTTCATTGGTGAATATGGAGTTTGCTCTTTGTGAGTTATGATATTGTATGCTTTTTATATATTCTGAGAATACTTTTGAGAATTCTAAATCAAGGTCGTCTGTTTGAATTACATATTTGCTGTGATTCTGGTTTGGTGAGCTGAATTGTATGGAGTAGATTCCGTATTGTTGTGTTAAGTTGCATATATCTTTCAAATAGTGATCGATAATTTGTCTTTTGATTTTTACATCTGGGAACTCTGTTTTACATGGACTGACTCCGGGTTCAAACAAATTTAAGAGTAAATTTTTGCAAAATATGTGCTGTCCTCTATCTGTGGTTGCATCTACGATAAAGGGGAAGATATCATCATCATCTGGACTTTCTTCACCTGGGGTGTGTGTTGAGCTCATTTTTTCGTTTGATGACTGTTAATATGTAACTATCGATGTGTCTAATTGGTTGATTCCAATTGTATATATGTACTGGTTTGTGTTTATATTGTTTTTTTATTCTTCTTTTTCCTCTTTTTGATGAATTTGAAGTTGTTTCTGAGTCGGAAAAATATAATTGATCGTGAATGGGGCAATTTTTATCTATAGATTCTTTTAATTTATAAAGTTCGTCTAAACTGCTGGTTTCTGATTCTGAAAATGCGTTTCGGTTTTTGGAAAATCTTTTTCGTGTTATTTGTCTTTGTTTGGTTATTATTTTTCTTTTTAATGTTTGTCGTTTTGTTCTGATATTTCCAACTGTTTGTGTATGAGGTGTGATTACAAGATCGTATTTTTTGTTATCTATTTCACAATTGTGTAAAACGATTGTTTGTTTATTTCCTAGGTTTTTAAATGACATAAGGTTTAGGATGACGGATGCAAAAGGTTGTTAAATGATTTCTATTTTCTTAGACTGTTAGTCCTTACGATTTTTTGGTTAGCCTAACCTGGGTCTATTTGTTCAGGGTTGGGGAGAAAAGTATCTCGATTCCGAAGAATGATTTTTTACTTTCTCGTGGCTAGTATAAGCTAAGGTGTTAACTTACTTAATCTTACTTAAGGGTAGTGATTGTGTTCAGGGTTGGAGAATATTAAATCGATCCACAAGGTTCAGGTATAATTAGAACGCGACTAGTTCGTTAGATACTATTTTAAACTTACTAAGTCTAAGATTTATCCTGGGTCTGGTAAGAGGGGGGATCAAGTGAAGGATGAATAACCGAAGTTCTTCACTGTTTATCCTAATTTGAATGATTAGTTTTATTCAAAAATTTCTGTTAGTCCTGGGTTTTTAGAAAGGGTTGGATAGTGAATCGACGTTTGAGGTCGTTAGACACTAGCTAAGTGGGTGGGGGAGAACAAAATTGTTCTTTTTGATCCAAGGATAGGCCTTGATGATCAAGTTTTAAATGTAATTAAATAGAAAATAATTTAAGATCCAAGGATGAGCCTTGATGATCTGGTTTTAAATTTAAGTGAATTTAAGTTTAAAATAATTTAAATTTGTGTAGAGAAAAGATTTAGTGTTTTTATGATATTAGTGAGCTTATGAATGCTGTAATGTTTAGGTGATGAAGCTGGAACAACAGGATGATTTATGATTACTTAACCATTTATTGTCATGCTACTAATTTTTATTTTGATTTTTCAATAAATATTTTTCAAACATGTTTTGTATATTACTGCAGAATTTAGGAAAACGATCTGAGATCTTTTTATCAATCGTTATTGTATATTAATAATTTTGTTTAGCGCCTGAAATGATTTTGAAGATTGACTTCAATATTTTATGTTTGCAAATGAAAATCTAAATTCATTGCTAGTAGTATTCTAAATACAAAAGTTTGTGTTGGCTTTTGCCGAACTATCATACAACTATATGGTAAGTTTCTGCTTTGTCGTATGTCGTCTCTGGTTCGAGGTCTTCTTGCAATTCCGGGTAGTTCTCTTATCGTTCGGAATATTGGCTTTGATCTATTGAGTCGTAGAGACATTTCGATTAAATTATCGTCGTGAAACATTTTAAAAATGTTTTGTCTAAAATCTAATCTATTTTTTGGTTAATTCTAAGCTATTAAGGTCTTGTTCGAGACTTATGGTCGCACCAGATGAGTTAGGACCGAAGTGTATAACTCATAGAGTAATTTCGGATAGGGTACACCGTCTGCTCGTCACGCTATCTTATTTTCGGCCGGATAGATTCGTGCAACTTCTTAGTCTAATACCGATCCTAATCTTACTCTTATACTATCTAGTCTCAGGTTGTTTAACTAGTCTCTGCTAGGCTCAATAGATCTAGGGTATACTGGTTTATTGCGGCAGCTGAAGTCTTCTTGGAGAGTCAACTAATTTCTAAGTTAAATTCAAATCTCTCTGGTGCTGAAATTACAAGTAATTTCAGCACTTACAAATAAGTGGGTTGTTAGTTAGATGGATCATGATTGGTTAATATTAAATACTTTACAGTGGTAAAATATCTAATTTATCCAATCATAAAATGTAGTTTAGATCAGGTTCCAAAACGGGCACTCTTTTTGATTCAGGTAATCAAATAACGTTAAAGAACGCAATCAAGTAACATTTGTTATATGAAATAGGTCCTTTAGGCCGAGAAAACCTGGCTCTACTCAAACGAAAAACTAGGTTTTGGAGCTTCATTTAGAGTTTCCTTGGCAATAAAAGTTTTCTCGAAAACTTTTTAAAATGATTGGGCAAAAAAATTAAACACATTATGGAAAAAAAATTTTGGATTACATTCATTTTTTGGAAAATTTTGTCCACTTTTTTAGTTACACTCATTTTTTGTCAAGACAACTGTTATTCGATTATGCCTAAATCAGTAACGTTTTTTTTTCTATGAATCAGGTCGGAACATTTTGTGCTACTTGCACAGCAACTGTCCATCCTTATTTCTAGTTTTTTTTATTCTGTTGAAATTCAAATGAACTAAAATCAAATTGGGAGTTCAGGCTAATATCAAGTGTTTGCTCTAACCAATTTTTGTTTGAAAATTATGACCTGTTCTCGTGACCAAAAGTTCTGACCAGTTTTTGCTTGGAAGTTACTTGGCAATCGATCTTTCTGCAATGAGTATACAACCCCCACCAACCGAAATTGTTTGTAATCTGTTCCCTGGAGCATTAGAATGATGAATGACAATGGAGTGCTGTGTCAAGTGAGTGGGGTTGTGTGTATCGTGTCCTGCTATGGCAGTCTATGGACTATGACTTTTATATCTGTGAACAGGTATGCTATTTTGCAAGTGTTGTGGCTGCTTTTCTTTAAATTTATATAATTAAGACTGGTATTGTGTGACCTGGGTTGCATTTGCTCTGTTGGAGCGATCTATTCGTTGCTGGTTTTTGTGTGTTTCTGATACAGTTCGTTTTCATTTTAGAGATTTCTGGATCTAATTTCTTTCAACCTTAGTTTTAGTTACCCATTTAGGGGTGTATTATTTTAAAATTTGAATGAAAAGCTGAGTAAAAAACTATTAACTTCATCGAAGCGGCTAAGGGAATCAGTTTTTTTTCGAAAACTTGTTCCTTGGCAAGGAAGGGTAGGGGGGCAAATTGTATGAGATTAGGAGCCTTTAACTTTCTTAGTCGAATCCAAAACACAAAGCGGTGTTATATTATTTTGAATAGAAAACTCCTCATGTACAACAAGACTTCGTAAAATGCTGAGATTAATTGAAGTTAAAGTAGAAATAGGTGCAAGTAGATTTGAAAATAACGTGTTCTTTCTAAATTAAACTGACTAGGGCATTTTTTGGGGAGAAACTTTGTATTCTGGTGTTTTAGTTTTTTTGTTTTCCACAGAAAATCAAGTAGTACTAATGGATGAGTGTAGCATTTCAAAGCCCTTTCAGTCGGTCATTCGAAAATTAAAAAACTTTCAAAAAACCGTCCCAGTTTTGAGAAAATTGGTTTGAAAACTTTGATTTTTAGTCGAATTACAAGCAAGTAGGGCAATCGTGTAGTCTTTTGTATTGAAGGATAAGCAATGAAAAACTTATTCAAGACCTTAAAAATCTAGTAAAATTAGTTTTCGAATTTTTTTCAGCGCCATCTTGGGAATATAAAAACTCTTTTTGTTTTTTTTTTAGTTAGTTTTTGAAGAAAAACTGTCGTCCAATATGCTTATTTGGATCTGCTTAACAATCGCCCCCCTTTTTTCAGAAAGGGGGGAGATTGTTCAGTAGATTAAATAAGTCGAATTTTTGACCAACCAGAAAGCAGCAAAATTATAATTCTCAATACAAAGCTCTAGCGCTAATTTACTGTATTTATTCATAGTAGTGGAGATTCTCAAGCAGATACCACAGAGGAGGAGGTGAGATTGTTAAGAAGCATCCGCTTATTTTACTATTACCATCGAATATACTTGAGTCTTAGGTTTTCGTTCAGATTCATTCATCAGACTAAAAAAGTGGACACTGATTCGAAAAAAAAAATTGTTTTGAAGTTTTTTAAGATTTTGGTCGAAAAATTCAGAGCTACGAACCTAAATTCTATCATTGTTTGTGCTTGAAGAAAAATTTTAATGACGAAATTGAAACCGAAAAAAAATCAACAAATTTTTGTTCACAAAAGCCCGACCCGCATTCAAGTTTAGACGCAAGCAATTATAACGGATTATTATGATGATTTTTGGCAATAATACAACTGGTTTTCCATGAGATTAAAATCTATTAGAATTTATTATAATTGATTACAGTTCATTCAAAAAACACTTAATAACAATTAAAATCGATTTTTATCGATTATACTCTCTTATTTTATCAGAATTTTGTAACACGAAAAGTACACTTTAATTACGTCTCATGGGCTCATGGGTTATTTTTCTCTCAATAACAAAATCTCTACAAGCGAGATGTCTTGTCACACTTTGGTTCATCTGAACATAAAGTTATACCACGAAACAAAAGTTTCATAGAGATCCTTTTGTATTAGTTGAAAGGTTCCCGCGGTTTGTGAAAAAAAAAGACTTCCGAGTAAATCATGAAAAAGTCGATTAAAATGTATTATAATTGATTATAATTGGATTTCGAAAAGAGAGAATACAATCAATTAATAATTGATTAAAAAAATTTTTTCTCAATTTTAGTAAGATTGGTACCAAAATCATAATATAATCGATTATTAACGCTTGAAACTGGATGCGGGTATCTTTAAGTTTCCCAGCGGATGCGCAAAAAATTTTATGATAATCAGTTTTTTTGAAAATTTTATCTCATTTGAATATCAGTAGCCGAGCACACCTAATGGCCCTTTTATAAACTAAAGCAAATGTGTGAAAATAAATTCAGATTTTTCTTCATCTGCAAACACACGATCTACAACAAAATCTTCAGCTTCAAAGGCACCCTGGCTTGCATCATTCTCATCTGGTCCTGCACTCTCCTTCTAGATGTGCCCAGTCTAGCCGGCCTGGGGGGTCACAAATATGTGGGTCTCTACTTGTTCTGCAGTTACACACAGGGGGGCGAGAGGTGGTTCAATGTCTCATTCTATACCATTTTGGCACTTGGAGTCCCGATGGTTGTCATCACTTTCTGCTACATTCAGATTTATCGCACTGCTTCAAAATGTTGGTGTTCGTTTTCTTATTAAGCACTCATTTTTCAGAGACACTTGGAATGAAAATGGACCTGTAAATCCAATAAGACTGCTCGTATCAGGGCGAAGCCCTGAATTTTCGGACTGCATTTTAAGGTCTATTGAGCAGTAAAACCATAAAAAAAAATTGTAATAAATAAATAAATAAATTTTTAATTTGAAGTTTTTGTGAAAATCATCCCCCCACACGAAAGATAAAGTACAGTTTTGCCCCTCGTAATATATCCATTTAGGCAAATAAGCTTCTGTCAACCAATTTGGAACAATTTCTAAGACAGGTTAAATATCCGCTTATGCGTTGAAAGCGCGAATTATATCGCGCGTCAATTGTCCCAAATTGGCCAAAATGGCCTTCTTTAAACACTCATAACTTAACAAAAATAATAACAAGTAATTTTTTTTATATTTGAGCTCAGGTTAAAAATAATTTTTGAATGAAAAAATTCCGTGAAAAACGACTACTTAAAAAGTCGAAATTTGTCTGAAGAAAAAAACAACCCGAGCACAAATATTCCGTTATTTTTGTTACGGAAGTCGGAACAAAAAAGCAAATTGGACCAATGCGTGTACAATAATACAGTTTAATTTACTAAAAAATGAAGTTTATATGTGCAGTGTGAACAATAGGGTTGTTACGGCGGGTTGATTGGAACATGGATCTGAACTAAATGACCCTTCGATGTGCTGCAGATTGAACTAAACGTCACCCGAGACATTACAACGGACCAAAAGTATTTCATATCAAACAATCATATACAAATGTTGTGATTATAGTCAATAAGCGAAAATTTTGATGACCTCTTTGGGCCGACCAGATTTATTTTTCGAGCTCTTCCAATAACATAAGGTCCAAAATCCAGAACTACAAAGTTCTCTTAATGCCAAAAATTTCTGCGCCGCAAGTAAATATAAGAACAAGACTGCTCGTATCAAGGCGAATCCCTTAATGTTCTGACTGCCTTTTAAAGTCTATGGAGCAGTAATAACATGAAAAAGTTAAAAGCAATAAAAAATGAATGAAACTTTTTAATTAGAAATTTATTTTATGAAAATCGTCCCCCAACGCCATTTAGAGTACATGGGTAAATTTTGCCCGTAGTAACATATCAACTATGGCAAATAACCTTCCTTCAATCAATTTAGAACGATTTCTAAGACGGATTAAATCTCCGCTTACGCGTTAATAGCGCGAAATATATCGCGCGTTAATTGTCCCAAATTGGCCATAATGGCTCTCTTTAAACCCCCATAACTTTACCAAAAAGGATCACAGGTAAAATAAATTTTCAAATTTCAGCTCAGGACAACAATACCTTTTGAATGATGGAAAAAAATTCCGTCAAAAATGGCTAGTTAAAAAGTCGAAATTTGTCTGAAGAAAAAAACTCACCCGAGCACAAATATTCCGTTATTTTCGTTACGAAAGTCGTAACAAGACTGCTCGTATCAAGGCGAAGCCCTGTATGTTCCAACTGCTTTTTAAGGTTTATGGAGCAGTAATAACCTAAAAAAAATTAAATGTAATAAAGTAAAATTAAGTTTTTTTTTTCTAAAATTTGAAAATTTTCAAGAAAATCATCCCCATCACACGCCATATAAAGTATCAAAGGATAGATCTCGCTCCTTGTAACAAATCAATTATGGCAAATAAGCTTCTTTCAACCATTTTGGAACGATTTCTAAGACGGGTTAAATCTCCGCTTACGCGTTAATAGCGCGAAATATATCGCGCGTTCATTGTCCCAAATTGGCCAAAATGGCAATCTTTAAACCCCCGTAACTTTACGAAAAATGATCACAGGTGAGATATCTTTTCAAATTTAAGCTCAGGACAACAATACTTTTTGAATGATATAAAAAAAATCCGTCAGAAATGGCTAGTTAAAAATTCGAAATTTGTCCGAAGAAAAAAACCCACCCCGAGCACAAATATTCCGTTACTTTCGTAATGAAAGTCGGAACAACAATAATGATTCTCCCACACAGAAACATATTAATCTTTTTTCTGTTAAATATTATGAGTATCGATTTTTCTTTGACCATGATATGTGAACTAAATGCTGTTCAGATATTGAGCAGTAGGCTCATCTCTCAGCACTTTAATTTTGATTTATCCAGGGGAAAATTTGAGATGGAAGGGGGCGTCTCACTCTCAGGAATTTCAACCCTCGCCACCCAAAACCTCACTTTTGGTCCTTTTTTACTAGTCCAGTGTTTCCTCGACCAGCCCTACCGTTGGAGCCAATACATATTAAATTTGAGGGGGAAGTCGCGCTGACAGAAGCAACCTTTTTGTTAACCCTCCCAAAAACCTCCCACGAACGGCAATTATGCCTGCTTGTTTTTAAGAAACGGGCACCTAGGGAGCAGAAAGTTCTGTCAGAAAAGGGTCTTTATACTGTCTAGGAAGAGCTCTGAAAATTGATTTGATTGATTAGAAAAAGTTCGACTTAAATTTATGCTTATTTATTTCTTATTGATCAGGCTTTTTAAAAAGCTAGTTAATGTATGATTGAGGGGCTAATCAAGATTTAACCAAAAAAATGATTTTTTTTGTAGATGCGAAAGGTTTACTCTAATGTTTGCAGCTTTCTGCAACTCGAGCCCGAATGCACGCGTATATCGTCTATCCCCCCTCCCCTCGTCTACCCCACGTCATCTACGCCCCACCGACGCCCCTCACCCGACGTTACCTCCAACCATTAAAACCCGCAGCCAGAAACTCCACACTAGACTGCAACATCAGAAACCCAACATTTTAAACCCTACGTTTACCGTATTACACCCCACTCCCTACGTCCATCCAGATTTAATATTGAGAGGATGAGGGGGGAAAGTGCGCGCAAGGGAAATAAATAACTGTATCTATAGGGCAGGGGCAAACATGGGCAAGGGGTGCATTGTGAGCATGGCGAATAGAGCTGAAGAAGACAAAGAACAGCGAAATAAGAGAAAATGATGAAAAAAAAACGCGATTGAATTTCATAAAAAGTGAAATTTAGTTCGACAAAAAAGTAACTAACTTAGTTTAAAAATGATTATGAATAAAAGAAAATAGCTCACAAAAATTATTAATTATTAAATCGATTAAAATGGATTACCTTTTTTCGAAAAAAAAATTGGAAAATGAGTTGAAAATTATTGATTATATACGATCGAGAATGATTTTCGGTTTCTTCAAAAAATAGTAGCCGTATATATCATTTTGAATCAGGAGCGGATTTAGGGGGCGGGGCAGATGCCCTCTTCCCCCCTCAGGGGTTCGACCCACTGCCGACCCAAAGGGTCCTCCCTTTGATACTATTTTTATGAATTCATTTCAAATTCAGAGAAGCAGAATTTTGAAATCCAATATGATATGATCAATCGTTATCCATTTCGAATTTTCATTTTGAATGATCAATCGAATTTTCGGTGCCGGACAATTGGAAACTTTAAAAAAGTAAAACATTTTTTAATTGAAAATTTCCGAATTCTCAACCAGTTTAAAATTAAATTAATGCAAAATTCAAACTTAAATCGCTATTTTTGAACTACGACGTCAGCACAACACAATTTATGCAATAGCAGTACAAAAACTAAATACAAAAGACCCAGTAGCGATAATAAAGTAAATCATGACCTTATTTAAGAAAAGTTCGCGGCCAAAATTGAACTAAAAGTGCTTTTTTCGCCACGTGATGAACGATGTGAAAAAATTCATTTTCTGAGCGACGCATAGCTCTCAAAATTAGTGTAGGTTGGTGCTAAAGCGCCTTCAAGATTACTCGGTGACAATTTGCTTAAATTGATTGTAACATAGGGGAGCTCTGAGGTGGTGAGGTTGCTACATTCTTGATTGGGGGGTCCGCCTCTTATGATAATCACTTTGATATGCCTCCACTTTGTGATAAAATCATTAATCGTCGAGTTCGCCTTCTTTTTTTTCTAAATGGTCGTTGATAGCAAAAGTTATCGATTATGATGAAAACATGTCCTATCATCATTTTTTAAACATAAAGCCAAAACCTCTCGACCGCAGTGTCCATGTTTTGTAGCAGCCGGAGTTCTGGGCCAGCTGAGCAGTCGTCGGCAGAAGGACCAGAAGCAGATGCTGGTCTCGCTGGCCACCATCTACGTAGCCTTTCTTCTCACCTGGCTCCCCTATGCATTCATAGTCCTCACTCAGGGACTCAAACTAGATGTCTACAACTTCATGCCTCTCGGTATGTCTCAATGTCTAGCAATGTGGGGGGGGGGGGGGTTTGGGGGGGGGGGGGCATTTTATCCTCTTCTAAGTCAACCCACTACGCTTGAGGCACAGCGATTGAAATCTGCGTCATTTTCAATTTTTTTTTCAATTATTGAATATAAAATTGCTTTCAGAAGTCTCCGGACGATAAAAAGCTTGACAACGTTTTCATCTCTGCATGTGAAGTTTAAATATTTAGCAAAAAACTTTTGAATATAAAACTTGCTCCGTAAATTGCCATTCACCTTCAAACATCGGAAAAAATCATATTGCTTGTTAAAATCATTGTTTTTTTTTTTAAATCAAAAGAACACCTGATAAACTCTTTAGGCCGATGAAGGAGCCATATTTCTGATAACAGAGTACTTTGATTACACAAACCTATTAAATAAGAAATTAACATAACTGAATTTGAGTTATCAATTATTGTTTTCAATTTTGTGTTAGAGCTGATACTTTGCTTCGACCTGTGGGCCCATTTCAACTCGGCTATCAATTTCTTCATCTACGGAGTCACCCACAGTGGGTTCAGAAGGGCATACAAACAGATCATCTCCAAGGTCATTCCCTGCTACAACCCGATTTTGAGAACCAGATCGTCTGCCCACCCCCCTGTATCGAATAACAGCCGACATCGGGGCGAAGAAATCAACGGGAGTTGCAATCCACCCAACGCGACTGGCAATCTCAACAATCGCCCGGCGATCAACCAATCGAAATATGCGCAGCAACATTGACAGACTTATCATAACACAAACGAATCTAGATCCCAACCCCATATTTAATCACAAAACCTTACCCTGACCCAAGTTTATGTAATAAAAAATACCATGTCGAGTTTGAGACGAAGAAATAAATGCTTAAAAAACCTTGCTTCGGATTTTTTTGAGGTGGGGCTGAGCGAATGCGACAGTATTTAATTTTGAGAATCACCAAAGCTTTTTTTTCTGCAAACCTCAAGAAAAATGAAATGAAAATAGGTCGAGTTCTTTTTGACGAGCTCTAGCTAATTTTTGCATATAATATATTGTCGAAAAACGCGAAAGCCAACCTTCAGTATTTTTAAACTTCAAACGGTTTTTCTTCGAAACAATTACTTTTCGTTAACGATTGAAAGGGTATGAATTAAAAACTCCATTCGATCTTTTTTGACCTCTACCGACAAGGGTGATTGATTTATTCAGAAAACAACGGATGCGTAAATCTAGTATTATCATGGCGTAAATAATCAATCACAAGAATATCATGAAAAGCGGTAAACTAACGCCAAAACTGGTAAAATCTGGATACTTGTTCATAAAAATAGAAACCAATTAAGGAGATAATTTAAGATCCGTACCTCGTCACAGCTTAAATAGCTTACTCCTAACTACAATAGAAGGTGGAAAGAATGTGAACTTGAGCCCCCTTCTGTTCTTCACCCACTGGAAGTGTTCAGACCCCTTAGCCTCCTTGGTATAGGACTGCATCTGCAAACTGTTCTCATCTATCGGGTAGACTCTATTTAAGGCCGCATAGGTACATAGTGTGCCCTTAGCCGCGTCAGTTGCCATTCTACTTGTGGACAGTAGTATGATCAAAATTGAACTCTTAGTTTTGAATGGATTTATTTCACAATGATAGAAGGTTTGAGTTCCTCCGAGATAGTTGTATTGTTGAAGCAACTCTAATCCCCCCGACGCACAAAAGGAAAAAATCCCACTTTTTCGATAAAAGGTGATGTATAAGCCCAAATTTTCAGGTATATATATGTAATATTGGACATATTTTTGCCACTACTATTCGTCTATAGCTGTTTGACACAAGAACCGGGATGATTTATTGCCTTACAAAATGAGTATTCGAGTTTGATTAGGCTAGTTGCGTGTTTTCTTGAGCAGTTTCCGAAGTTTGGCTTTTCAATGTGGAATCCCTTCTTAGCTGTCTTGTGGCCGATCCAATTCACCCATGGAAACCTTATCGGGTACTTCGAGCCCCTGAATTTCAAATAACTGTACCGGGCAAAAGTTTTAATCAAATCAGGGGTTGATGGAGGTACAAAAGGTTGGTATTTTGCGTAGTAGATAAACGTTCTTAAATTAAAAGTATTAAAATTTCAAGTAGCGTTTGAATGTGCATAAAAATTGCTAAAAAGTCACAGTTTTTAGTCTCGACTATATGAATTATCAATCACAAGACGGTAAAAAGCGGTAAATTAACGCCAAAATTGGTAAAATTTAGATATTCTATTTATAAGATAATGAGCAAGAGAGCAAAGATAAATTAAGATTCTTGACTTAAGATACTTGAAACAGTCTAAATAAAGGCGACCAATCATTTGAAGTGAACCGAACGAATCATCCCCCCTCAAAAATCCCATTATCTTCCAAGCTTTTCAAGGGTCCCAACAGCTCCATTTACCCACAGGACTCTCAGTCAATTAATCAAGGGTTCGAATCTCCTTAGCCAATAAAGACTCCGAAGATTCATCTACTCAAGTATCACTCAGCCAGATTTTCAAGGGTCCTAATCTTCTCATTTGATCAAGGGTACCTCAGCCAACTGCTCAAGGGTCCCAATCTTCATAGCTTTTCAAGGGCACCAAAAGATAACTACTCAAGGCTACCTAAGTCAACTACTTAAGGGTCTCAAACTTTCTAGCTTTCTTACTCTACCCAGAGGGGTCCCAATCTTCTTAGCTATTCAACACTCCAAATTTTCATCTACTCAAGAATTCCTCAGCCAACTACTCAAGGGTCCCAACCTTCTCGTTTTATTAAAGGTCCCGCAAGCCCTTTACTCAAGGATTACTCAGTCTACTACTCAAGTTTCCCAATCTTCTCAGCTATTCAAGAGTTCCATTATTCAACTACTCTAGGGTCTCAATCTTCCTAACTATTCAAGAGTCCCAATAGCCTCCATCTACACAAACGTCCCTCGGTCAACTACTCAAGGGTCTCAACCAATCTTCTCATTTTACGAAGGGTCCCGCAAGTCATCTACTCAAGGGTCCAATTCTTTTCGTTTTATCAAAGATCCCGTAAGTCATTTAGTCAAGGATTCCTCAGCCAACTACTCAAGGGTCCCAAACTCCTCATTTATCAAGGGTCACGCAAGTCATTTACTCAATTATCCCTCAGCCAACTACTCAAGGGTCCCAATCTTTCCTAGCTGTTCAAGGGTCCCAATAGATATCTACTCAAGGCTCCCTCAGTCAATTACTCAAGGGTCAAATGTTCCTAGATTTTCGAGGGTCCGAATAGCTTCATCTAGCCAAAGATCCCATAGTCAACTACTCAAGAGTCCCAATCTCCTTGGCTGATAAAGGGCCCCAATATTATCTACTCAAGGATCCTTCAGCTAACTTCCAAGGGTCCCAATCTTCCTAGCTTTTCAAGGGCACTAATAGACATCTAATCAAGGCTTCTAAGTTAACTACTTAGGGGTCTCAATCTACCTAGATTTTCGAGGTTCCCAATAGCTTCCTCTACCCAGTGAGTCCCAATCTTCTAATCTTAATTATTCACTGCTCCAAACTTTCATCTACTCAAGGGTACCTCAGCCAACTAATCAATGATCCTAATCTTTTCATTCTATCAAGGGTCCCGCAAGTCATTTACTCGAGGATCCCTCAATCAACTACTCAAGATTCCCAGACTTCTCAGCTATTCAAGAGTTCCATACCTTCGGTCGTCAAGTACTCATTTGCCGACCTTCTCAGCTGTTCAAGGGTCCAAAAATCATCTACTCAAGGATCCTTCAGTCAACTAGTCAACTACTCGAGGGTCTCAATCTTGCTAGCTATTCAAGGACCCTAATAGCTTCATCTACACAAACTTCCCTCGGTCAACTACTCAAGGGTCCCAAACTTCTTAGCTAATCAAGGGCCCCAATTTCCATCTACCCAAAGTTCCCTCAGTCAACTACTCAAGAATCGCAACCTTCTCATTTTATCAAAGGGTCCGAATGTTTCTGCTACTCAAGAGTCCCAGTCTTCCCAGCTGTTCAAGGGTCCCAAATGTCATCCATTCAAGGATCCTTCAGTCAATACTCAAGAGACACGATCTTTCAGCTATTCAAGAGTCCCAATGGCTTCATCTACCAAAAAGGTTCCTCAGTCAACTAGTCAAGAGTCCCAATCTTCCTAGCTAATTTTCATCATCTCAAGCTAGGACCCCAATTTTCATCATCTCAAGGATATCTCAGCTAACTTCCCTGTTAATCAAGGGACTCAAAAACCTTCTAATAAAAGATCCCTCAGCCTACTACTCAAAGTTCCAATCTTCTCAGCTAATCAAGGGTCCCAAGTGTCTCTGCTACTCAAGGTCCTTAATCATCTAGGCTATTCACGGATCCCAACGTCTCACAAACCTTGTTCAATTACTCAAAAACCTTGTTCTTCTAAGCTGATCAAAGTTTCCCAAAGTCTCTGCTACTCAAGAGTCCCAATCTTTGCAGCAGATGAAGAGCCCTCACAAACTTAGCTACTCAAGGGTCTCAGTCGTCGCATCTAATCAAGGGTCCAAAGTCTCAGCTACTGAATGATCTCAATCACGCCAGCTATTCGCGGGTCACAATAGATTCAACTACTCAACAATCTTGGTCTTCTCATCTGAGCAAAGGTTCCAAATGTCTCAGCTATCAAGGGTTCCAATTTTCATGATTTTTTGTCGAAATTTCGTTTGGTTTCAGTAAAAATTTAGATAATTTAGATAGTTTTCTCTTAGTTTCAAACATGTAGGACAATAATCAAATTATTCAAATCGTAGGAAAAAGCTAAAAAACGCAAACATCGGCAAAATAGAGCTCCAAAAAATTCGGGAAAAATTTTTGAAACTGACCATCCTACCATCGGAAACTATGAAACCTATAGCCTCAAAACAGGGGAAATCTATAGCCTATGTTAATACATAGGGTGCTGACCGGATACTCTATAGCCTATGTTAATACATGGGGGTCAGCAACCACCCCCCCCCCCCCCCCCCCCCCTCTCTCCTCCTGATCGCCTCACTCTTCTACTACTCACCACATAAATAAACAATAAGTTATATTAGATCAAAAAAGACAATAATAGCGAAACAAAAACAAAATTATTTAAAAACTTTCAAAGACACGAAACGTACTTCCGGAATCAGACACAACAAAAATACAAGAACTTCAGGACGACTAACAAAATTCGTGTTGGAAATCAACAGTACGAATTTAATTGACTCTTCTATCAAATTTCCATAGGACCAGCAGCTTATCAACTTTCATGAGCAAAATTTTTCGACCACTATTTCGAAGTAAAAATGTTATCAAATATTTTGACGATGTTTTTATGCAATCACAAACAAAGCAAGAAAAGTTGAAAATATTAGCAAAAAAAAACACACCAGTTTTTACTAAAAGAAAACATAAAAGCAGCCCCAGATACTTCACATATTTTCTTCACTAGTGTCAAATTCCTTGGATATATTATTGAAGGTAATACAATTACTCCATTCAATTCTTGAATTGATGCTCTTTTAAAGCTTCAACTTCCATCAAATAAGAAAGAAAATCCGAGAACTCCCTATAATTTTTTTATGTAAATATGTTTATAAAAAGCAATTTATAAGAAGACCGTTTTATAATATTCTCAGACCACAAAATAGTTTTGAATAGATATCGGAAATTCAAATAGGTTTTGATGAAACAAAAATCCTCCTCTTACAGAACAGATCTCAAATACAACTCCAGATTCAGATCAACCACTCTATGCCATGTGTGACGCTTC